TTTTTCAAATTTCTTCATAGGCTAAATTCATAATAAACACCAAGATGTGACAGGAAACAAGAGTCTACAAAGGGTGCTGCAACAAAGACTTGGTTTAAAATTCGAAATGATTATGGGCTCAAAGCAAATAGAAAGCTGAAATTTTAAAACATGTTGTTCAAATTCAAAGCAATCTTTTATTTTATTGACAAGTTTTATCAAGGTGAAAGGAAGGAAAGGCTGAGCATCTCTTATTAATAGATGAGAGACTTTCTGGGTCATGCTAGGGATATCAACTCCAGATACCAACTTATGTACTATCTTTTTAATGTAAGTGGAGCTCACCAATCAAATGAGTTTTACGCTCTATTAGAAAGATTATACACAAGTTCGTATATAAAGTTAACCTCCTTAACATTTTCCTTTATTATGTATGCATTGATTCTTGACTAGTGAGATAAAAATGATTGTGCAAATGCACAGCTGTAAGGTTGTGAGGCTTGGCATTATATCAAAAAGATTAAATGAGATTGCACAGTTACACACAGCCAGAGGCAATCATCACCAGTTTGATTATCTTCTTGTTGCTTTTCCTCCCTTTTCTGATTCCAATATGCTACAAAAGGTCCACCTTGAATCTTGATTTTTACGTGGCCCCCTTCCCTTCCCTTGCCTTTTTTCCCCTTCGTTATATAATGGTCTGTTGCACTGTGTGTGGGGTCCACAATACTCTGCTTTGTGAATGCATGAGTCAATGGCCTACTAATTCGCGAAGGTTAAAAAAAGGCTCATGGAGGGAGGGTGGGTGATTTGTGATTTGTGATTTGTGATTTGAGAATATGTCGACCTTTTGAATTATTTGACCCTTACGGGATCAAGATCCCATATCTCTCTTGTTTTCTGGGTTTTTGCTAAATGCATAGAACCAGCAAGATCTATCAGTGAGATGATGTTTGGCAGAAAATAGGCCGTCTCATATTTATGGACGAAAGCTTGCATAATATTTTTCAAAAGGGGGTGTACCCAAAAAAATGTAGCAAGAAGATTCTAGATTCTAAACATTTTTTCTTTTTTCATGTTTCTCATCTATACAGTCAATCAATCAAATTTAGGAGTGAAAAAAGGATCCGACTAGATGATCTCTGTACATTAACATGAAATGATTGTGAAAGTTAGGAAAATGCAAAACTGGTAGTTGTGGAAGACAAAAACATCTATGATCGTGTGCAGGCTTGGCTGCAAAAATGTTGATCTCAAGTCTAGGCATGTCTGGAAGTGTGCCGACCATCAAGACCTAATCTTGCCTGACCTGAACAACTCTACCACATCCCTTATGCATACAGCATTTTCTCAGACCGGCATGCATTGAATATCTCACCCCGCATCGCATCAATTGGCATATGCTCAAGCGTGTAGCGCTCCGGACCCTGGTACAGACCAGTCTTTTCAAGGAGAGCCAACCCTTCGTCTCTACCATACCTTGAAGAGTAAAGTCTGAGGTATTCAATGTCCTGATAACCCACACAAATATCTAATCAGTATGAAACAGGAATTATCCGAAAGAAACACCACACTAGTTTAAAATTCAAAACTTTTGGAGCAGGAAAAGAATCAGGATTTAGAGTTCCAGATCCATAAACGTTGGGTAAAATTTTAAGGAAGACTAATTTAATGGTTAATTATAATGAAAATGAATTTGATGGTTAAAAGCATGAATTTTCTTGGGTAAAAGTTTCAGTAATTCTGATCAATGATTTAAATATATTACCAAACAACATTTTCAAGGAACTATGCATGGATTGCTGTGCAAGACTGTTTTATATGCGTTAAAGAAGAAGAAAAGGAAGAATAAAACAAACCGGTTTGGGATAAACTAATTATCACATTAAGCTTCACTTACTTGCAGGCCACTGAGAATGCGCTCAAGTCTGACTGAAGCCACTGGTTCATTTGATGATGAGAACACTTTGCCAGGGTAGAACAAAACCCCATCTCCAGGGGGAAGACCACGCCTAAATCTTATCTGCTCAAAGGCACATTTATCAGCAAATTGTAAGGAAGTAGCTTTTTATAATTGTTAATTAATGTCATAAATCATCTGGATGCCAGGAAAGTACCTCTGCACTTGGAACATTTGCCTTCTCATAGCAATTGGCACCCCAATATAGGAAACCTGTTCCACCTTCTTTCCATACACGCCACATTACAGCCCGGTGCTGAGTACCTCGCATCCCAAGGTGCCAATTGGGATGGGGGTCAGACGGTCCCATGCACACATAAGTCCACCATTCCTACAACATTGACAAGTTCACATTCTTCAGTGGGTAACAAATGAGATGCAAGGATTATAACTAGGCATCAAAACATAATTCTTAGACAATGTACAGTGACCATGTTTTCCTAATTGCAATCATTAAGGAAGAACAAATTCAAACCACAAAAACAAAGACCACAATCATAAAATAAAGGGAGCCCAGAATTTAAGAAAGTTCCCCAGAGAAATTAGATGAGTCAAGCAAAATTTATGTCATATCACCTCGCCATTTTCTGGTTGTATTTCAGCAATAATATCCTTGACCAAATCTTCTCGATTACCAAGCACCCATTCACTGCAAATTTCAAACCAAATTGTATTTATTCAGACATTGGCATTGACAAAAATTAGAAAGCAACAGAAGTCAAATACCACAAATATTTTAATTTCAAATTTTCATATACAAAAGGTTCCTTATTGAACACATACAAAACAAATGGAAAACACTACCTTGTACAATAAATTTGAGTATGTGGGCGTAAAAACTTTGGAACTTTTACAAAAGCCTCAAACGCAGTGGGTGCAAGAGGTGCATCGCTTGGTCCTACATGGCAGAAAAGAGCAAGATAAGAACATCTTCAAATATAAAAGACTAGCCAA